CGAGCCGCCCTTCCAGTACAGGGGCCGCTGCTGCCACCGATATGCCTGTACCGGACCATACCACCCAGAACCCACCACTGGTGTGAATCAAGCGTGCAAAGCGGGTGTGTGTGCATGTGGCGAACCGATGGTAAAAATAAGTGAAGCCCACCACTGCCCCTAATCATTCTTGTTGCTCTTCTCTGCCCTCTTTCCAAAGTCTCAAGAACTTTTGAATATTGTGGTGACGACATTATACGTCACACTAGTGGTGCACTAGTGTCTGTGCGCTTATATAAAGGGAGGAAGACGCAGCCATCAATGGGGGGGAAACGGTCAATAAAAGCCCCAAATCTTGCTACAGAGAAGGATTACATGCTCCTGTAGCTTATTTTAAGGAAGTGCAGCTGCGTGTATCACGTCACTTTGCAGCATATCGATGCTTTCCGGAGGCTCCCTTTTTATCTTTCCCCAAATGCATATAAATGCTTTATCACGGTGGTTTTGCCTAATTCCCTGCCAAGATTGTTCAGCCTCATTTCCTAAGGAGAGTTAATGGTCAAGAATGATCAGTGTGCTTAAAGCTGCTGAATTCCCAACTGTCTGAAACAGGAAGAATTAAAAAAAAAAAGTAATTCCACCTTGATTCTCAAGAGTTTGCAAGATCAACATACTTTTAGGTGAGATCTGGGTTTTTGGAGTTTTAAATGTTTCTCCTCCTCCTCCTCCTTTCTCTCCTTCCACTTCTCCTCCTCCTTCTCCTCCTCCTTTTCCTCCTCCTTCCTCTCCTTCTTCCTCTTCCTCTTCTCCTTCCCTTCCTTCCTCTTCTCCTTCCCTTTCCTTCTCCTCCTTCTCTCTCTCCTTCCTCTTCTCCTTCTCTTTCTCCTCCTCCTTTCCTCTCCTTCTTCCTCTTTTCCTTCCTCTTCCTCTTCTCCCCCTTCTTCTCTTTCTTCCTTTTTCTCTTCTCCAGTTTCTTCCTCTCCTTCTTCCTCTTATTCTCCTCCTTCCTCTCCTTCTACTCCTTTTCCTCCTCCTTCTTCTCCTTCCCCCTTTCCTTCTCCTCCTTCTCCCTCTCCTTCCTCTTCTCTTTCTCCTCCTTCTCTTTCCTCTCCTTCTTCTTCCTCTTTTCCTCCTTCCTTTCTTCCTCTTCTCCTTCTCCTCCTTCCTTTTTCTCTTCTCGTTCCTTCCTCTTCCTTTCTCCTCCTCTTCTTCTCCTCCTCCTTCCTCTCCTTCTCCTTCTCCTTTTCTTCCTCCTCCTTCCTCTCCTTCTTCCTCTTCTCCTTCCCCTCCACCCTCTTCTCCTTCCCCCTTTCCTTCTCCTCCTTCTCCCTCTCCTTCCTCTTCTCCTTCTCTTTCTCCTCCTCCTCTTTCCTTCTTCCTCTTTTCCTTCTCCTTCCTTTCTTCCTCTTCTCCTCCTTCTCCTCTTTCTTCCTTTTTCTCTTCTCCAGTTCCTTCCTCTCCTTCTTCCTCTTCCTCTTCTTCTCCTCCTTCCTCTCCTTCTTCTCCTTTTCCTCTTCCTTCTTCTCCTTCCCCCTTTCCTTCTCCTCCTTCTCCCTCTCCTTCCTCTTCTCTTTCTCCTCCTCCTCCTCTTTCCTCTCCTTCTTCTTCCTCTTTTCCTCCTCCTTCCTTTCTTCCTCTTCTCTTTCTTCTCCTCCTTCCTTTTTCTCTTCTCCTTCCTTTTTCTCTTCTCATTCCTTCCTCTCCTTCTTCCTCTTCCTCTTCTCCTCCTCCTCCTTCCCCTTCTCCTTTTCCTCCTTCCTCTCCTCCTTCCTCTCTTCCTTCCTCTTCCTTTCTCCTCCTCTTCTTCTCCTCCTCCTTCCTCTCCTTCTCCTTCTCCTTTTCCTCCTTCCTCTCCTCCTTCTTCTTCCTCCCCCTCTCCTCCTCCTCCTCCTTCCTCAGCAAGATGCTGACTCTGCAAACCAGAGGGGGCTGGAGAGCACTGTGAAGCGGTATATAAATGCCATTGCTATCAAGAATCTGCTAGCATCTTTTCTGACTAACTCATTTCATTAAAAGGCAGGAATGTACGTGAGCTGCATCAGATTCGCAGAGCGACTAAATTGCAGCTGGAGTGTGATGGAGGGGAAAAAGAGAGAAGGAAAGTGTTCGAGGCAAGTTACATCCTACACAGGCTACACATTGTGCTGTGTTCAAAGCCCCTGGGGTTGACTGAGACCTTTTGAGTTGGCCTGAGGAGTTTTGCTCTACGCAGTTCAGCAATCTCTCGATCCCCTTCCCCTCTCTTCTCTCCCCGTAGTCCAATTTAAATCCTACCTTGGCCTAGAAACTCTACGCACCTGACAAGGTGAGCTGCTGAGGCTTATGAAAGATTCTGCCTTTTAATAAGGCTTGTTAGACAGGAAAAAGGAGCTACCTGAATCCTGATTTTTTATTTATTTATTCAATTCATTATTTATTTTCTGGAACCAGAGATTCGATCGGCGTTTCTCTTACAATAAACAGAAACTCCGAGGGTGCAATTGGACAGGGACTTGACAATTCCAATGATGCGAATTCGATTGTTCTATTCTGGATATGACTCACGGGGGGGGGGGGGGGATTGCAATAAGAATTGTCATTCCAGGTTGTGTAATGGAAAACAACGTTGTAAACGCAGGTTGGTTTCCAATCTCACATTTCTCAGACAGCTGCTAGGCAAACATGTTTTTGTCTGCTTGACTGATGAATTCATGAATGAGCTCTCACTTCAGTGGCATCCCTCTCTCTCTCTCTCTCTATCTATCTATCTATCAATCTCTCTCTCTATCTATCTATCTTTCTTTCTTTCTTTCTTTCTTTCTTTCTATCTATCTATCAAACACCCATTATCTCTCTCACACTCTCTCACGCTCTTATCTGTCTGTCTACCTATCTACGTCTGTCTATCTGTCTGTCTGTCTGTCTGTCTCTCTCTCTCTCTCTCTCTCTCAATCTCTCAATCTCTCTCTCTCTCTCTCTCTATCTATCTATCTATCTATCTATCTATCTATCTATCTATCTATCTATCTATCTATCAATCTATCTATCTATCTATC